TTCAAGCAAGTGATAAGACTGTTACCAAGTGACCAGGAAAGAAAAGTCTGAGAATACTTTATCCACACATAGCCCAGCTAATTACAGGTTGTTTTTCTCGCAGAAACACTTCCATACCACCTACCCCAAATAATGGACATCACAAGTGATCTAAACCTTCCTGCTTCACAGGACAATGTTCCTTTCCTCAAGCTGTTCTTTCGTTGCTCTCCAAGAGGCGGCCCTCCCCTGGCCTTAATCACCACAATTAAACCAGGGTTCAGCTGCCGTGAGCTGGGACATTTATAGCATGCAGGTGCTTTATGGTTCTTAAATGAGCAGGAAGGGTAACCCTGCTGTAAAGGCAAAAGTGTGCCTTATGGTTTCCTAGCAGCTTTCTTTTTTAAATGTGGGGTGCAGGAGATGAGAGCCCTTTTGGCTCTTGGACTCCTAGTTTCAACTCCAGGCAGTATCATGGTGCTAGGTGAGGATAGATGGGGATTCAAATCCAATCGCTTCATTCTTATCTAACCTTGGACAGATTACGCAATTTGATCTTAACTTCCTCATATACATATGGGTAATATACACCGCCAGGATGAGGATAATCTTACACACAATTGTGAGGACTTAAAAATGAACTCTTTAGGGCCTCCCCGGTGGCGCAGCGGTTGAGCGCTGGGTTGTGAAGCTGCCCGTGGCCTCTGCGGCGCCGGTTCGATCCCCGCCTGCTCCCCGGCCCCCGGAGGAGGGTCCCACATGGCGCGCAGACCTCTCCTGCCGCCCGCTGCTCCCCTCAGCAGTGTACTTCGGTCCTTCTGCCTGCTCTGCTCCCCGCTCTGGCTCTGGTGAATTCTCTCACCCTCCGTGCTTCTGACTGTACCCAGTGCTTGTATAAACAAAACAAACAAATAAATAAATAAAACATGCCTCTATTAAAAAAAAAAAATGAACTCTTTAGCTCTGTGCCTGGCACATGGAAGCATTCAGCAAAGCCCTCCTTCCCTTGATTATGTTAAAAAGAAAATGACAGAAGAAAAAGACTAATTATATAAAGTGAAAATCAAAATCAACAAGCAACTATAAACCAGAGACACACTACCTGGGGAGGTGGGGTGGAGGAGGGATTACGGTCAAAATAAGGGGGGTGGGAATTGTATGGGGACTATAACTAAGATGAAAATGCATATATTGTGCAAAAATGAAAAATGATGTAAAAATTATATAAAATAAAAAAATAATGAAAGCCACTAGATATCAAAAAAAAAAAAGAAAAAAAAAGAAAAAAAAAAGAAAATGACAGTTCCCAAGTGGAGTTGCTTGTGCTAAGCCCACCAAGACAAAACACTTAACCAAGCTGTGGTTTTAACCATCCCCTGGAGTGTGGTCTTAACTGTTCAGATGGGAATTTCCTGCTCAGTACCAATGAGGTAACCTTTCCACCCTCAAAGGAAAATGAGATAACCTGCTACATGACCTTTTCCCATCACCCATAGGTAAGTTATCCAGGCCTGAAATAATTCTCTCTCTTTTTTTAAAGATTTATTTATTTATTTATACAAGCACTGGGTACAGTCAGAAGCGTGGGAGGGTGAGAAAATTCACCAGACCAGACTGGGGAACAGAACAGACCGACGAAAATCACTGCTAAGGGGAGCAGCGGGTGCAGCAGGAGAGGTCTTCATGCCATGTGGGACCCTCGCCGGTGGCCGGGGATCAAACTGGCACTGCAGAGGCTGTGGGCAGCTTCGCAGCCCAGCGTTCAACCGCTGCGCCACCAGGGGAGGCCCCTCTCTCCTCTTTTATTGCTCTCTTTCCGCCTATAAAAACCTCTCCACCTTTCTGAGCACCTTCCTGCTTGCCAGATGGGCTGCTGCATGATGCAAGAATTGTCTGAAAAATGGGCCTCCCTGGTGGCCTAGGGGTTAAGTCTCAGTGCTACCAACCCGAAGGCCTGAGTTCGATCCCAGCCAGGGAGCTAACCCACATATGGCGCAGCAGACCCCTCCTGTCTCTCCCGCTGCTCCCCTCAGCAGTGTATTTCAGTAACTCTGCCTGTTCTGCTCCCCACTCTGTCTCTGGTGAATCCTCTCACTCCCTGCACCTCTGGCCTACACCCCAGTTCTTCTATGCAAAAATAAAATGAAATAAATAAAAATCTTAAAAAAAAAGAATTGTCTGAAAAAGCCAGTGAAATCTCTAAAACTGAGCTCAGTGGGATTTTTGCTATTTAATATGTACTGTTTCACAGGCTTTCTGAGGGTTCATTCACACTGCAGCAGCTTATGGAAGATGCCCCAGGAGAAGCACTCAAGGTCAAAAAAGGACTAGTTTTCTTCATTTATTCGAACAATGCTTACCAAGTGCCTATTATGTGCCATGTAATGTTTTAGGTGCTGGGGAACAATCATGCAAATATCAGAGCCCTGGGCCTCCCCGGTGGCGCAGCGGTTGAGCGCTGGGTTGCGAAGCTGTCCGCAGCCTCTGCAGCGCCGGTTCTATCCCCAGCCGCTGGGCAAGGGTCCCACATGGCGCGCAGACCTCTCCTGCCACCCGCTGCTCCCCTCAGCAGTGTACTTTGTCAGTCTGCCTGTTCTGCTCTCCGCTCTGGCTCTGGTGAATTCTCTCACCCTTCCGCACTTCTGACTGTACCCAGTGCTTGTATAAATAAATAAATAAACAAATAAATCTTTAAAAAAAAAAAAATCAGAGCCCTGCCCTGTGCAGTTTACAGTGGTGGGGTGGGGGTGAAGGAGAGACCGTCAGAGTAGTCACATATACAAATGCAAAATGGCAATAATGACAGTGCTGTGAGAAGCGCTTTGCAGGCTTGCAGGCAGTAGGAGCCTAGAAACAGATTTGACCTGGTTCGAGAGGTCAGGGAAGTCTTGAACCTTTAGTGCGGTTTGAGTTGAAGTTTAAAAAGTAAGTAGGGGAGGGAAGAACACAAGGGACTATGGTGATGGTTCACGGGTGCTGTGGTGGCGGGAGAACTGTGGAGTTTACACCTGAGAGAAGAAACCAATTACTCTACAAAAATGAACACTAATATAAGAAAATTAAAAAAAAAATTAAAAAAATAAGTAGACCTAGCAGAGGGAGGAATGAGGAGTGTGCTAAGGAGAGGAATCAGCAGGGACAAGGACCTTGTGGCAGCAGGAAACAAGGCAGGGGAAGTCGGCTTGAACAGTGGCCCATGTGGACACAGCACAGGGTTTTGAGCTGGAAGTGGGAGGGGTGAAGGTGACTCTGGAGAGTAAGGGGCCAGAGTAGACAGGCGCTTGGTGGCCATCCTCTGTCACTGGGGAAACGTAAAGGCAAGTGGTACCATAACACCAGCATATTGTTCATTTCCAAGCATGGACTTGAAAATTTTATGTTTAGTAAATTATTTTTAGCTACAACAGAATCAAGAGTATTTTTTTTTAAGATTTATTTATTTATTTATACAAGCACTGGATACAGTCAGAAGTGCGGGAGGGTGAGAGAATTCACCAGAGCCAGAGCGGAGAGCAGAGCAGGCAGAAGGACCGAAGTACACTGCTGAGGGGAGCAGTGGGCGGCAGGAGAGGTCTGCACCCCGTGTGGGACCCTTGCCCAGCGGCTGGGGATAGAACCGGCGCTGCAGAGGCTGCGGACAGCTTCGCAACCCAGCGCTCAACCACTGCGCCACTGGGGAGGTCCCTCAAGTATAAGAGTTTTTTAGAAATCAGATGGGATGTCAGATTCTGAGCACTGGGAAGGGAATCCAGCTCATCTGTGCTTACCTCCAGGAACTCAGAAAATGGAAGGACACCAGCTTATCCTCCACCACCCTCTCAGCCAGCTCCTCATCCTGTGAAGGCAGCGGGGTGCACGCCCCAGGAGGTGTGGCTGAAACTTGGAATGGTGGAGATAGCATCCTTCTGGTCCTCCATAAAAACTGCCCAGGGTTTGGTGTCTTCCTGTCACCCACAAGAGCTGAAAGACATGGAAGCGTGACTACCTTCCATCTAATCTATTGCCCCAGCGGTATTCTCTGCAGGTCAGGATGTCAGTGGTTGTCATCATCACCCTTCTCATCTCAAATTTGAACAGTCACCAGAATAAAATTCCTTCCAACCTTAAGTTGGCTTCCTTTCCTGGCTCCCCTGGAGGGAAGCTGCTGACAATTCACAGACTCATTGTTGAGTTCCATGGGGGCCGGAGCTCAGAATCAAAGGGGAGACCTTTGACTTATGTAGCAGGAGTCCCCACATGAGGCACCTCTGTGATCTCCCTGGGCTTCAACATGTCAGAGCTGCGAGAAAGAGAAGGGCAGAGGCATGTGCAGCCGAGAGCAAAGGAGGTAGCTTCAGGGGACCTTTAGAAGCCATTGGAGGCTTGTAAGGGGCCTAGAGCCCCCGTGGGTGGGAGCAGAGTCAAAGAATCCACATTTGCCTCAGTGCAGCCACACGCTGGGCAGCTGAGGGCGGGGTTGCCAGCTGTGCCTTTGCTCCTTCCCCAGAGGTGGTGTTTGATAATAGGGTTTTGTAGCAGGTCAGCCTCTTCCATTCATTCCATCGCTGGGCAGCTGAGGGCGGGGTTGCCACCTGTGCCTTTGCTCCTTCCCCAGAGGTGGTGTTTGATAATAGGGTTTTGTAGCAGGTCAGCCTCTTCCATTCATTCCTGATGGCCGGGAGGTCTGAGACTGAGAGGATGTCACCTGCTCATTTACAAAAAGGCTGATCCAGGTGGGAACTCCTAGCATAATTTCTCACTCTTTATCCCAAAAGACACAAATTTCACAGCAGGGCATTCACATATCCTACTCACAAGGAACTACCTGCAGAGCACTGAAAACCTACTTTCTGTCCCAACAGCTGTGGATTATAAGAGTTCTATATTTCAAAATATTGTCAAATATACTCTCAAATACCCCACGGATGATATACCTAAACAGAAGTAAGAAGTTTAGCAAAGTGCTAAAAACAAAAACAAAAACAGGATTCTTGATAGCCAGCCACAAAAACCAAGTTTTTATTGAAGTAAAACATACATACATAGAGAAAAGTGCACAAATCATAAGTACACAGATAGAAGAATTTTCACAAACTAGACAGACCCAGGTAACCAGCAACCAGATCAAGAAATGGGACATCCCCCCAACTCCCCTTGTGCCCCTCTGGCTACCATCCCCTCAAGAATCACTCATGTCTGTACCTGCAATCAGCATAGATTGGCTGTGCTAGGCTTTGGACTTGATACAAATGGAAAACAGCATGTACTTCTCTGATGAGATTCACACCATGCTGTGGTGTGTAGCCGAGAGATGATTCATTCTCGTTGCTGTCTAGGATTCCACTGTGTGAATATGCCATAATTTATTTATCCAGTCAATATGGGCATTTGGATGCTTTCCAGTTTGGGGTTTTCATGAGGTGTTTCTATAAACATTCTAGCCCATTTCTTTTGGTGAACATATGTACTATACATTTCTGTTGGGTAAATACCTAGGAATGGAGTTATTAGAGCAAATGAAATGCCTACAACCCAGGTTTTTTTCATGGAATAATAAGGAATTTATTGGATAAAACTTATAGGCTCAAGGAATTGAGAGAGAACTAGAAAGGAGATATAGAAGTATAAGTGGGGCCACGACAGCACAGGGAGAGGGAGTGGAGGAGATTTCCCAGGTCTGTGCCACCCTAGGACATGGGTGCCAGTGAACACCCAGTGCCTGCAGCCTGCCTGGCTGACTAGCACCCCTGCTGAGTCGCTGTACTCCCGTGAAATGAATCTCGCCATCCCTTCATTTCTATGTCCCTTGCTCTGGACTCGCAATCCCAAGTAGGGGAGTCCGAGTAGTTCTCTCCAGTCACTCATCACTTCCTGATTGGCCTGGCAAGGAGGGGGCAGTTAAGAGACAGGAAAGACCTCCCAGGTACTATGTCCCATTAAATTTAAAGGTAAGAGGTGAATCTCTCCTTCCTGTAGGCCGAGGGGTTCAGAGGCTAGACAGTCAAAATGAAAACTGTCCACTAGAGGTGCACCCCACTTCATTCACCTTCCAGTGACAGCTAGACAGGGAGGGGCTACATCGCATGTCTGCTACCTCGTAGTCCATGTGCATGAACTTGCTTTCAAGAAGATGACACTGAGTTGAGAAACACTTGGGATGGGTGAATCTCACAAAATACCATAGGTTTGGAAGGAAAAGGTTTAGTCATACCTTTATGTCAAAAAACCAACCAAACAACGTCTCATGAGGGAATGTGCAGAAGAGAGGTGGGAAAGGAACAGGAGAGAGAGAGAAAAGGAGAGGCGGGCTATGGAGGGTCAGTAAAAGTACAAACTAAGAGGGGGGTAGTTTAGAGGAAAACTAGACGCATAGTTTTTGTCTGTTTTCTTGATGGGATTTAGCCAGTTTCTATGCTGTTGTACTTACTCAGCCTCTCTGGTGTGCTTTTATGGTTTGTGCTTTGCTTTATCAGGTAAATGGTGTTGACATGGATACAGAAGAAAGAGAGCCTCATCATAAACCCCAACAGAGAAGTACACAAAGTCTTACGATCACACACAGCAAACAACTCTGCTTAGGAAGCCCGCAGCTTCCTGACAACACTGGTATTATCGGTGAGCGCTGATAAAGCCAAGAGTGGGTTTCAATAAAAGAAGCAAAGAATAAAAATGGACTAAAACCAAGGACAAGGGTAGCAAGTGTGAATTGATCTGTAATTTACATTTACCTCCTTGTAGGCAATTTGACATTATCTCTCCAACTGCACCCTGGTATCTTTGAGGTCGTGCATCCTTCCCTATGTTCTATCTTGGCATTTAGTACATTTATTTGTTTTCATGGTAATCAGAGCTTTCGTCTCTGTAGCACCTCTCTATTTTCTCCGAGCCAGAAAGGCAGGAGTAATTACCATGATCCCCAATTTGCAGGTTAGAACATTCCCAGCACAAAATGGCTTGTCCTCGATTACACAGCAAGCTGCTGTCAGAGTGAGGGAGCCAGGCAGTTTCCAAACAAACAGAGGAGGACGAACTTAGACAAAGTGCTCTCTGCCCCCACCTCTTCTTTCATCCTGGGTGGTATATTATTTTAGGCGGGGCCTGCAAGTCTGTTTCAGAAAAAAACAAGAGTTGTCTTGTCTTCCAAGGAGGCCTCCACATTTCATCAGCTGTGAGCAGTGAGCATACAGGTCCAACATGAGCCCTCCTGGCGAGGCTGGGAAGAGAGTGCTCGGGCAGCAGCCACTGCCTCTGTGCTTCAGGTTGTTTGTGGGTCTGACACTTGCACACAGGGACACCTGGAAGGCAGAGTAGCTCAGGGGCTCCAGGAGGACTCTGGGCCAGCCTGCCTGTAGTCCTAGTTTTCCTGCTTAGTATCTACAACCTCGGGGAAACAACATAATCTCCCAGTGCCTCAGTTTCCCTCCTTTTAAAAAAAGACTGTTGTACTGTATCTTTGCTATTGGAGGACTGAGTTAAGAGAATAGGTATCAATTCACAGGTCAGTGGATGGCACATAATGAGCGGTTACCCCTGTGACTCACTCCTCGGGGGCAGGGGCCATCTTGGTGACACCCCACAGGGCCCAGTGCTGTGCTCAGAACAAAGCCCATGTTAGAACTAGTGAGTAGGAGCCAGAAGAGGAGGGAGCAGGAAAAGGTGGCAAAGGAGAGAGGAGGTGAGCCCCAGGATGGCCAGGCTGGGGCAGGGAAACAGATGGGGGCTGTGGGGTGCTCTTATGGTTAAGCTTGCTACAAGGGCCACCTCATATCTATTTCCATAGCAGGGCCAGCTTCAACCAAGGTGGTGGAAGGGTCACCTCCAGGGAGGTTAATGACAACTGTGGGGAACAGGGAGCTGGGGCTCCATCAGGGTCTGGGCCACGTGGCCCCAGGAGACCCACAGTAAGGAAACCATCCAATGCGGTGGGTTATTTCCTTTTTAAAAGGACGATGAAAAGCAGGAAATAAAGAACTTCCACATCAGCTTTCTCCAGGAAGGGAGATGAAAATGTCACGAATATGTTCCAGTTGGTCAAAAGGTTCTAACTGGACCCTGACTTATCGTCAAGGGGGGATTCTTGGGTACAATTTTTTTCGGTAAGTGATCCAGTGAAATCTTTTCAAGGTTGATGTAGTCAAACTTGGGAAGTGATGTGGAAAACTTTCAAACCCTTAGATTCATACTTAGTTTTACTTGGCACATTTGTAATTTGGTTCCAAAAATGTCTATATTCTTTGCCAGTAATGAGCGCAACATGACAATGAAAAGTGAAATCAAAGGCAATGTAGGAAACCTAAGAGAAACATGAGACCAGCCCCAGCAGTCCTGGTTGGGAGGGGAGGCACGTGGGCGGAGCTCCCCAAAGCTAAGAGCATGCACTGTCGCTAGCAGGGGTTTCACTGACAGAAAAGGAGACATTTTCATAACAAACGGAGTCAGAGTATGGTACAAAAGAACTTCTTCTCTCGGAAGGGGTTTTCTGACGCAGGCACTGGGATGATGAGAGGGTCCTCTCGCACGTGGGCTTCACAGTACGCCAGGAGGTCCGCCGCTGCCTGGGAGACCTGCAGGGGACACAACACAGGCGCTGGGTTAATGGCCAGTCCGGGGATCAGAGTGGTTCCAAGGCAGAGGTGTCGAGTGGAGAGCATCCAGGCCCAAGGACAGGCTGTGCTGTGGACAAGGCCAACAACAGGCCATTCCTCGCCTGGAGAGAGGGTCTGTGTAAACCCGGAGGAGAGGGGTTTGGGAGCATGACTGAGGACAGAGAGGCTGCCCAGGATGGCAGACCACTCACCAGCTAGGCAGGAATGAGAAGCCAGCAGAGGCTCCACACACAAAGTCCTGTTCTCCTTGGAGGGGTGAGTAGTGGTTTCAGGCCAGCAGCTTGATGATTCCTCTGCAAACCATTTCTAGATGAATAAGGTACTTGGCCAAACCAGTGTCACTGTATTTATTACTGCTGTTATTTTCCTGCAATTCGCTCTCATGACCAACACAGACACTTTATCCTCCTCCAGATAACATGTTTTGTAAGCACATTATGCATAACACATATGTCAGCTGCATGTTCTAAGCATGCATGTTTTAACTCAGAATGGCCATTCTCTTGAGCAGCGTATTGCTCTTCTATTTCTCTTCCAGGCTAATCTGAAGACTGCTGATACATGGTGATTGTGCATGGAACGCCCCTGAGCTCATGTCCAAGAGTTTCAGAGGGAGAGGCTGGGTAGAGGGGCAGTACGTGGAGAGGCATTCCCTAAGAGGGAGATGAAGTTACCAGCTCATTTCACTTGTGGTCTGTGTCGTGTGATTGGCAAATAAATGGCCTGTGTGTTTAACCATCCTGCCAATTAGGTTGTTCCGCCTGCAAGTGCTTATTATCGGCTATAAGCAGGGGTAAGTTTCTATCAGTCAAATGAAGTCCTTTCAGTATTCAATGTCTAAATCTTCTCCAAGATGATAAAAATACTCTACAAATCGATGAAAAAAAAAAGTATTTAAAGTCCACACCCATTCCCGCTAGCTTTTTCAAAGCTGGCCCATCTTCCAAAATTTTGCAGAAATTCTTTTCTGATTTCCAGCACAGACCCATACATTCTAGCTGTGGCTGGAATCCTACAAACCCCAGTTGTCATATTTAAATATATGTATATAATGAATTTTTACTCAAAAAACAACTAGCAGTTGAGCAGATGAATCAACTTAAATCCTGACAAAGTCTTCATTTGTTGGGCATGAGGAATGGAAAGGATACCAATGAGCATCAGGCTTCCAGGTTCATCTCAGCCCTTTGATGGCTGTGGGACCTCGGGTAAGTAACTTCACCTCTCTGAGCTTCAGTTTCTTAATTTGCAAAACTTGGGAGAATTAGATTAAGGTCCTATTTACTTTAAATAATCTATAATTCTACCTCTAATAGTTCCATGGCTAGTATTTTAGATCTAAAGATAAATGTATGTTGGCTTGAACGGCAGTTTCTGAAGTTGGCAGGAGTTTACAGGACACCCAGACGGGAATTTCCAGGGTGAGGGGAGGCTGCAGATATGGGCCCAGGAAAGGGCCTGCAGGAGACCTGCAACGTCATCACAGGGACCGGGGCACAGGAGGAGGGAAGCTGAGTGTGAGCCCTCAAAGCCATGACACACAGAACAGGACTCGCAGAAGCAGGCGGCACCTGGGGTGGAGCCTGGGAGGCCAAGCCCCGCAGCGGGATGTTTGCTGCTGCATCTGACCTGAAGGCATGGTTCTCCCCTCGCTCTCTTAGTCATGATCTCTCCCCTCTCCACTCCAAGCTTCTCTCTGTGCCCAGAGGCCTTGGGATTCCTCCAGGGCCACCATGTTAGGACACCCACTGAATTCATCTAAAGGCGCCTCTGGTCTTCATGGATGGCGAGGCCAGCAAGGGGACAGTTGGCTGGAGCAACCACCTTCCTCTCTTAAGAGTCACCTCTCCCCTTAGAGCTACTTCTCATCCTTGACTTTAGTGAACTCTTCCAGGTGGTTCCTTTAAGAATGTGTTATATGGGCCTCCCTTGGTGGCGCAGCGGTTGAGCGCTGGGTTCAATGCCGGTTCAATCCCCGGCCACTGGCGAGGGTCCCACATGGCGCGAGACCTCTCCTACCGCCCGCTGCTCCCCTCAGCAGTGCATTTCATCAGTCTGGCTGTTCTGTTCCCCGCTCTGGCTCTGGCGAATTCTCTCACCCTCCCACGCTTCTAACTGTACCCAGTGCTTGTATAAATAAATAAATAAATCTTAAAAAAAAAAAAAAAGAATGTGTTATCTGACTATTGTTCCCTCTCCAGTTTTCATTTTCCCTATCTATTTCATTTAGGGGGATATACTTTTGTTTATTCTGAATTCTCTACATACCTCATCTCATCCAGTAAGTAAGTACTTACATACTGAGCCTCTCCCTTTTAGCAAATTGAGAGATGATAGAGGAAAGAATAAGGCTAGATTTTTGCCTTCTAGAAGATTTAATGGAGATTAAAAAAAAAAAAACCCATAAAGATAATCATTGGCATGTGCTGAAATACCATAAAAGAATAGTTGACATGGAGACAGGGAGGGAGACAGAGGTATCTGACCCCATCCAGTTCCACATGATAGGAGTTACCCTTTATTTGGGGGCTAGTCTCAAGTGTCTGGGTGCAGAAACACCACTTATTATGTGCTGGGCAGTGTGCTAAGTGCAGTACTCGCGAGTATTACCATTTTAATCCTTCTAAGGGGTCTCCCTGGTGATGCTGGCGGTTGAGCACAGCTCTGTGAAGCTGTCTGCAGCTTCTGCAGTGGGGATTCTATCCCAATTGGCTGGCGAGATACCCACATGGCACAGCAGACCTCGCCTGTCACGCCTGCTGCTCCCCTCAGCAGTGTATTTCAGTCAGTCTGCCTGTTCTGTTCCCCACTCTGTCTCTGGTAAATCCTCTCATCCCCTGCACCTCTGGCCCGCACCCCAGCTCTTATATGCATAAATAAATAACTCTTTTAAAAAATACAGAATAAATTAAAAAAAATCCTTCTAGGTACTATTTTGTAGCCACTTTACAGATGCGATAACTAAGGTACGAAATTAAGAAACTTGTCCAAGGTCACATGTCTAGTAAGAGAAAAGGCCCAAATAAGAAGCCAAGCAATGTGGCCACAGAATCTCTGCATTACTGCAGCCACCTGAATAATCGATAATGAAAACACAACTGGCCAGGGGACTGAAACGTTGTTGCAGAGTTAGCACACTTTCCTCTTGCTGGGAACTCATATAACCAGAAGAAAAGTGCTGACCCAAAGTTTTTAGGTCATGTTATTTAATATAGGGGCAGTGTTGTCCTGCCTATCAGGGTTTCCCTCTCCCCACTGCCCTGGGTGCTTGGATGGACACTGCCTCCAAGACTCCTCCCGCTAGGCTGCTGTGGTTAGGCCCCTTGTATTTACACTGTTAAAATAATTAAATAAGGAGGACATTAGACAGAGCTGGCGCTATTGCCTTGGTAGCCTATGGAAACCAACCAAGACCTATGCTGGGCTCAATTCACTCACCCAAATTTGAGAAAGTGAAACTTAAGAATAACCATCACATGGGCCTCCCCTGGTAGTGCAGCGGAAGCTGCCTGCAGCCTCTGCAGCAACGGTTCGATCCCTGACCGCCGGCGAAGGTCCCACATGGCGCGACAAACCTCTCCTGTCTCGCCTGCTGCTCCCCTCAGCAGTGTATTTAGTCAGTCTGCCTGTTCTGTTCCCCACTCTGGCTCTGGTGAGTTCTCTCACCCTCTCGCACTTCTGACTGTACCCAGTGCTTGTATAAATAAATAAATCTTTTTTTTTTTTTAAAGATTTATTTTTATTTATTTATTTGTTTGTTTGTTTATACAAGCACTGGGTACAGTCAGAAGCATGGGAGGGTGAGAGAATTCACCAGAGCCAGAGCGGGGAGCAGAGCAGGCAGAAGGACTGAAGCACACTGTTGAGGGGAGCAGCGGGCGGCAGGAGAGGTCTGCGCACCATGTGGGACCCTCCTCTGGTGGCCGGGGAGCAGCCGGGGATCGAACCGGTGCTGCAGAGGCTGTGGGCAGCTTCGCAACCCAGCGCTCAACCGCTGCACCACCGGGGAGGCCCTAAATAAATAAATCTTAAAAAAAAAAAAAAAAGAACAACCATCACAACCAACTAATATTTCCCAAATGAGGCCACTGTTAAGCTCTAACCAATCAAATAATCACTTTGCTTTTCTTCAGATTCTATATGAATACTTTCTGTTGGGGGCACCTACTTTCTGTTGGGGGCACCTCCTAATCACCTTTGCTGCATGACCAGAATCCACATATGTTCAAATAAACCCCTGAAACATTTTAATGTGTCCCAGTTTACTTTTTTTTTTTTTAAAGATTTATTTATTTATTTATACAAGCACTGGGTACAGTCAGAAGCGCGGGAGGGTGAGAGAATTCACCAGAGCCAGAGCGGGGAGCAGAGCAGGCAGAAGGACCGAAGTACACTGCTGAGGGGAGCAGCAGGCGGCAGGAGAGGTCTGCACGCCATGTGGGGCCCACGCCCAGTGGCCGGGGATCGAACTGGTGCTGTAGAGGCTGCGGGCAGCTTTGCAGCCCAGTGCTCAACCGCTGTGCCACCAGAGGAGGCCCTGTCCCAGTTTACTTTTAACAACATGATGCAGCTGGTTCAAGTGGGATTATTATCAATAAATTATAATTACAGTGTCCGTCCCCCTGATCAGCTTACTTGTCAACATCCCTAAGGGGGATCTGATGAATAACAATTTCCCAAGAAGCAACCATTCTCCGGGTTGCAAGGGGGCTCTTAACTGGGCTGCCTCATCAACCACTACATCAGGCCAAAGTATTGGAGAAGGGGCTTGAAAAAATGGGGCTTGGGGTGACGTCCCAGTGGAAGAGAGATGGTGCTGGGCCAAGTTTCCGTCGCACATGAGTGTATCTGCTGCTGTCATGGTCCTGGGGCTATAATACTTGAGCAGTTCTGCTGGTAATGTCTGGCCTTGCTAGTTCTAAGCAGGTCTAATCTAGGAATTTTTCTAGCAACTCCAG